AGAGAGCATGAGCAGGGGGAGGGGGAGAAGCAGACTCCCCTGCTGAGCAGGGAGCCCGATGCGGGCGGGACTCGATCCCAGAACCCTGGGATCATGACCTGAGCCAAAGGCAGTCGCTAAACTGACTGAGCCACCCAGGCTCCCCATTTGAGCTCTCTTTCGATGAGCCTTAGAACATTCAAGGGGCAAGGAAACGGAGGAAGTAGAGCGGTGATCCACTCCTTCTGGGCGTGGCTGCCGGGGATGGTTCTGAAGTCTTTTTGCCCCTAGAGCTAGTGTGTGACTCGGCCTACCTGACATGAGGGTCATCGCCTGACACCCCGGCAGCGGTACTAGGCAGGTAATATTCTCCCCACTCCAGATTAGGAGACCACCATGGACTCAGAGAGGTCAAGAGACCGGCTGCGGGTCACACCAGGGCAGTAAGGTGCAACTTTCTCTATGTGCCGGCACGGCAGATTTCCTTGGCCACGTGGCAGGTGAGCAAATGGCAATGTGCTACTCTGCCCCCCTCCGCTCCCCCAACCCTGGATCAGCCCTTCCCACTCAGTGTTCTCTTCCCTGCATGTGAACCCACAGCTGCCACGGAGTCCATGCTAACCCCCACTTTGCAGATGTCTGAGTCTCGAGGCCTGCTCCAGCCCTGGGAATGAATCTGGGTGTCACCATTCCCACACATCATCCATCAGTTTCATATCCCAGATGGCCAAAGAGGGGAGTGGGTGGTTCACAGGTATTTTCGAAAAATCCAGGGAGTTTATAAAGTCATTTCCCCAAGGCTGCCACATTTCAGTTTTGGAATGGCAAACATTTCCTGTAATATTGTGGTTAAAAAATAAGAGGTAATGGGAGGTTAAAAGTGAAAGGGTTTGTGGCTTTCATGGTCTGTGACATGCTCCTAAACCATGGGCTAAGGCTCAGAGGGAAGACTAAGACTGCCTTCAAAGGTCAAAAGGCCATTCTATAAATGCACGAGGGGCTCCCCAAACACTGCAGAAATAGAAAGGATGGGCCAGATCACCGGGAGCAGGACCCCGACTAAGGCAGGGATCTGGACCCTTGCCTCATGGTCTGAGCAAGGAGGGAGGAGGGAAGTCACCCGATCCACGAACCAAAACCTGCTTCCTATGCCAGCACCCCGTCCTCTGACGTTGGACCCAGGCTCCCCTTCCTCAGAGAGCTGACAGTCTCATTGTCCCAGCTTTCTTTGGCCCTGGGCTGTTTCTGCCTTTGCTGACTTCCTAACTGTTTTGGTTAGTTTGTGCTGCGTATGGAGGATGCAGAGGGAAGGAAGCAGGGCGGTGGGGTGGGGGGCTGGTCATACACGTAAGACATGAAAGCCCCAGCACTGCAGAGGATCTCGAGATTGACGACCACCACAGGGGCCACTCCCTGAAAGGCTCTGGGGACCCCGGGGGCCCAGGGCTCAAGGAGGACCAGGATGAGGATGCTACAACCATTATCTCGCTCGGTGCTGGCGGACACGGATTCCTAGCATCTCTGCTTTACCACTCAGCATACGTAGGGGCTTTCACCACCTTTGGGTATAAAATTACGAAACTGAAACTTAATTTTATATTGGCTTAATAAAACCTAATCAAGAGTAATGTGTTATAAATACATTCATTCCATATATTTTTTAAAAGGCCTGATTTCTTCAAGACCAATAACAACATATGGAAGGAGATCACGGAGGGGAATCTAGAGACTCAAAGAAACTTCTGAGACAGATCAACAAATGCAATGTATAGGCATTACGTGGATCCTGATTCGAATAAGCCAACCATTAAAAAACTTCTGTGAAACAATCAAGGAAATCTGAACCCTGAGTAGAAATGGGATATTAGGGAATCATTCATTTCTCAGTATGATAATGGTATTGTGGTTATATTTAAGAAAAAGTCCTTAGAGTCTTTTAGTGCAAACTAATGACGTATTTTCAGATGAAATGATATGATGCCTGGGATTTGCTTTAAAATAATTCAGTTTCGGGGTGCTGGCTTTGGCTCAGGTCACGATCTCAGGGTCCTGGGATCAAGCCCCGCATCAGGCTCCTGCTCAGCGGGGAGCCTGCTTCTCCCTCTCCCTCTCCCTCTCCCTCCAGGCCTGCCGCTCCCCATGCTTGTGCGCTTTCTCTCTGTCAAATAAATAAATAAAATCTAAAAAAAAAAAAAAAATTCAGGTTCTGGGAAAGGGGATGTGCATGAGGTGTAAAGGGAACAGAGCAAGAATCCCAAGCAGACTCCCCACTGAGCATGGAGCCCCACGCGGGGCTCAATCTCATGACCCTGAGATCATGACCTGAGCCGAAACCAAGAGTTGGACCCTCAACCGCCTGAGCCACCCAGGCGCCCCAGGAGATGGATTTTTAAATCATTTAGAAGAGGGTCCAAATGAAACGGGCATCTATAGTCACGTCCAGGGCAATCCACTAGGGCAAGGAAGAGCTGAGCCAACCGCTTCATGCCGCTTGGGGGCTGCTCAGAGAAAGCTCAACTTCCCAACTCATATTTTGCACAATGAGCGGACCAAGCATTGACTAAAATGAACTGAAGTCAGAAGAGAATGAGCTGGGGAAAGAATTCAAATCTGACTCAGGTAAGATCTCAGAGTGCTGAGAGGCTATGAGAGTGGCCAAACCGCTTTTCTGGAGTCTTCGAGAAGACATGGAGAGTGACAGTAGGAGAGAGGTTCTGTGAGACTAGGTGTCCGTGACTCTAACAGTCCAGAAAGGAACAAGAAGGCAGGCGTGCTGCAAATTAAGGCAAGTGATGAATTTACAGGGTGTGGATGTAGGCAATATTAAAACACACCTTGAAAGTAATATGCTAACAAAACTGCAAAATCACAGTACGTTAAGTATTTTCCCAGAATGTTACCACGCCAATGTAAGAAAACTGTTTTTATTTGGGGAGGGGAGTTTCTCTTCCAGGCTTTGCCCATCTACAATCTTTTTTTCTTTTTAATTTTTAATCATGGTGGTAAAAAACACGTAAGTCTTTAACCTTCTTAACCATTTTTAAGTATGCAGTTCAGTAGTGTTAAGTATATTCACATTGTTGTGTAATAGATCTCCAGAACTTTTCCATCTTGCAAATCTGAAGGTCTATATCCATTAAAGTAGGACTTCCCATTTCCTCCACTCTACTATCATACTTTTACATGGTTGCCTTCCTCACTACATTTCCCCCCATCTTATTATTTTATTATCATTATTTTTAAGTAGGCTTCATGCCCAGCATGGAGCCCAATGCAGGGTTTGAACTCACGACCCTGAGATCAAGACCTGAGCTGAGATCAAGAGTCGGACGCTTAACTGACTGAGCCACCCAGGCGCCCCCCTCACTACTTTTAATATATACATTCAGTCATGTTACATATTTTCTTGATTTTTAAAATATAAAATCTTCCTTGTTTGCCACTGTATTTTGTGGATCATAATTTACGATTATCTCTCATGCTGGACCTGTGCTGGTTATCTCTAGCTTAGCCCTACAAGAGAGTCATACCATAGTGGAGGCAAAACCAAGACCAGCCTTGAACAGTGTGGCTTTTGGGAGGAAGGAGAGTGGAGCCTCTGGACCTGAGAGACCCAGGCAAGGGGGCTCCGGGACAGAGAGGTCAGCCTGAGAGTGCAGGCAAAAGAAAACCATCTCTGTACTGGGGACTGGGTCCAGAATCCTTCATTGCCGCCTAGCTTTGGGGCGGGATGGGGCTTGGAGCTCAGACAAAGGTAGGGATGGCCACTCACTAACCTGCTCTCTGCCTGATCAGGATATTTTCCCTTAGGATGTACTTTTATAGGAATGTGATTACTAAGTGAAAGGGTCTGTCACACACCCTCGTTTTTCTGATAGAAAAAAATTAGCAATAAAAACAATAAGCAAAAATCCCCAAGATGCCATGGGCAAGCCATTTGGTCAGCTTCACAGCCCACTGGTGGAAAAGCCAAGCTGTGTCCTAGGTTGGAGTTCTGCCCACAGAGTTTTGTCTAAACTCAGCGGAGTCTCCCCCTTCGCTTGGCTCTGATACAAAATTACTGATTGCTAAAACTGTCATACAGCTCTTCCACTGTAAACACAGGTTTGATGAAGGGGTAACTGGATAGAAGGACTGTATGAATGGCAGCCCTTGCCCTTGCTCCTGTCATAAATGCATCCACAGTCTGGAGTCACCCATTCAGAGCAAAAGAAAGAATATACACACCATTTGGCCAGAAACGTGGGGGCCTGGCCTTCTCTGCAGCAGGAAAGCCTGCTTAAAAACACCATGCTAAGACCCAGCGGTGCTCAGACACCCACTCAGCCAGGAGGAGGACTAGATGTAGGGAGATCTGGTAACTTCTCTATTGCCCTCGAAGGGCCCCCCTCTCCCCCCCCCACACCTGGGTCCTACCCCACTGACCTCTCTACCCTCACCTCCTTCCCAAATCTCTCCCCACTGGACTGAGGACTTTCTCAGCACCATATGCCTAGTGTGTAATATTTTATTTTACTTAAAGATTTATTTAGTTGTTTATTAGAGAGCGAAGGGGAGTGGCAGAGGGAGAGGAAGAGGGAGAATCCCAAACAGACTCCACACTGAGTGTGGAGCCAGATGTGGGGCTCGACCCCATGACCCTGAGATCAGGACCTGAGCTGAAATCGGGAGTCAAATCTCAACAGACTGAGCCCCACAGGCGCCCCACCTAGTGTGTAATCTATTAGTGACATGTACTTGGTTTGCTGCTTTGCAAACATCATTCTATAGTCGGGAAGTGCTGTGAGGTCCTCAGACGCAGACTATCTCCTATCGCCGGCAGATTCTGCAATGCAAGATTGTTGAGGGCTTCCTTAGGAATGAAGAATTGATTTTACCTGAAACCGGTCCAAAAAAAGCTTTCCTTCCCTTTTCTTTAAGCCCCATGAGGGCAGGGAATTTTTCTGTCTTGTTCGCGGCTGTGTCCCCATTATCCAGAAGGGTGTCTAGCTGAATGAACCAAATGAGTCACGGGATGACTCATCTGCAGGTCATCTTCTGGTACCACTTCTTTTCCCTCTCACACTCCTGTCTGCTCACCACTCACTGGACGAATTTATAATCAGAAGTCTTCATAACAAAGTTTCAAATGATGAATTCACCCAGAGTTAGGCTGAGTCTGACCACACACATTTCCAGGACTAGCGGGCAGCGGTTTGTGCTGAGGGAAGGCGGCTAAGTCTGGGGGACCTGTGCCCCCCCTTTCGGTGGCTCAGCACATCACAAACATGGGCTTCTCTAGCGGCAGCGAGGCTTTGCTAACTACGGCAAGCGGGCGCTGGCTTCTGGGCCTCAGGTCGGCTCTGGGGTGAGAAGCCAGCGGGAGGGGACGGGTCACTGACAAGCGGTTCCCGGGACTCAACTAGGCAAGATTTACCAGTGGCATGGACTCCCGTGCGGCCCCTGCTGAGGCAGGCGAGCCCTCCCTGCTCCGCCTCGGCGTAAACGAAGCATGGCTGCCACGTCCCAGTGCTGAAAAGGCTCATCGCCCTCAAGCCTTGGCAGGAAAAAAAGGTGACACTGGTTTAAAGTAAGGAACTGTCCTTCGGTGAGTAGGTCTGGTCACGCTGTTGAGGGCACCTGAGCCCTGGGCAGCGCCCACATACCCAGGGCCCACCCCTTCCAGTGCGTCGGGGGACAAAGCTGCCTCTTACTCTCCTCAGTGGACGAGGTTGATGTGACAGTAGGTAATCAGGAGTCTGAAGATCTCGGAGGTCTCAAAGAGGGGTGGTGGGGACAGCGCCTCACAGACTCTAGAATCCCTGTTTCCCACCCGGAGTTCACCAAACACGCATTTCACATGCTCTTGCCAACGGCAGGTGGCGCTCGTGCAGCAAAATGAAATGCAGCTGCTGTCACTTAAGATTTTGGGCTTTGGCGGGGGGGGTGCGGGAAGAAAACAAACTGGTCCCGCATCCTCCTACTTATCAAATGCTGTGCTCTCTGAACACAAAGTCCGTGCTCACAGTGATTTCACACCACTGGGTTTAGGAAGGGACCCGAGCGATTCCAATTTTACAGGTGATAGCAGGCTTGCTGAAAACTGGGCCATTCGTCAGGTGAGAGCAGGCAGGGTCTCATGCCAGGCCCTGCTCCCCTGAATCCTGCGGTAGGCCCTTTACTCTCCCAGCGACTGGGCACGGTGGGACTTCGGTTAACCCCGGTTACATAATGGCTACGAACTGGGAATTGGATATTTCTAGTCAAGCCAAGATAAAGGGACGAGTCCTTTCAGCTGGCTCTCCAGAGCACAGAGGCGACGGAAGGGGAGGATTCCCAGCAGGAGGATGAGGGGACCAACCTCGTCCGGCGACAGCAGAGCTGGAGGGGCCACTGAGGTCCCCAGGCCCACTGGCTGCTAAATGTGGCTACCTAACAGGAGTGACCTGTGAAATGTGTCCAAATGCAGATTCCTGGGCCCATGCCCCAGATTCTTGAGTCCGAATCTCCAGGGCTGGGGCCCAAGAAACTGAATTTATTTCTAAGATGATCCCCCAAGTGATTTTTAATGAAGTCAAACAGTCACCAGTTCACCAGACTGGTCTTTGTGACCCACTGGCCTAACCTACACTTCTTGTATCACAGAGACTGAGGATCATTACCGGTCACCGACTTACTTTCTACACGCCTGTCCTGCCTATGCATTCGCTGCTTTGACGCTCACCACAGCGCTGAGGTGGGCACTACTTAGCATTACTATCATCCCCATAGTGCAGGTGAGGAAAACCGGAACCCAGGCCTTGGCCCTTGAACTCAGGAAAGGCTCCATCGGGGATGTGTTTCAAGTCTTCTTTTGGGCACATTTAAATCCTCCTTTTGGGCCAGCTTGATGCCTCACGGGCAGAGCCTGAATTCTGGGCCCGCATTTGCCCTTTGGATGTGCTGGCTTCAAATTCCAGTAATATATATTTCTGGAACTAACAGGCAGCCTCTAGCTCTCAGAAAATGCTGAAACAGGTTGAAACTCTACAGAGAGAGATACAGGTGAGGCAAAAAGGGGCAGGAATCACTTATTAACTGTAAGGACTGTTTGGCATTAGGTTGGTTCAATAAGGGAGACTTTACTTTCTTATGCAATTCTGGATTTCTTCAAGAGATCTTTAATAACTGGTCATACCCATTTGAAATATAGAAGACATTATCGTGAAGTGGGAGTACGGGGAAAAATGTGAATGCATTTGAAGAGTCTGGAGAGGTGTGTGTGAATGAAGGGGTGTGTATGTATGTGTGTGTGTGGTGACTCTCGAGAGATCTGGGACAACACTGTTCTCGATGAGGAGGCAGAGCCGATAATGCCCTCCTAGGGCTCATCCTGTGGGGCTCTGCTGGCAGGAGACTAAGGGGCGAGGTACACCTTTATCGGCCAGGTCATCTCCTTTGTGGTAATGTCTGGGATGTCTATGAGAGATGGACACTTGAAGGTGAGGGCACAGATTAAGTGGTTTCGAGAGACCCCTTCCCCATGCCATCTGAGACTCAACGCTCCCGTAGGCAGGAGGGCTCTGCCATCATAAGGCCCAGCTCTCAGATTCTGGCTCTTGAGTTCTTCCATAAACCCACGGTCCTACAAAACTCCTGGAGCATGAACAGGTTAAGTCACCTCACAGAGACTCCATAGGGAAACCGCAGCTGTTATGGGGGCCTTTGGCTTATTCAGTTACAGACCGGATCCCCAAATATAGCTGCAGATCGGCCTTAAGGAGTCTGGTAAGACAGCTCCAGTGTATGACGTGAAAGCAAGACAGGGTGACTCCAGGACCCACACACTTCTGCTCGGTCCGCCACCGCGTTTCCTCTGGTCTTCACAGATGTGTGCTGGTGTCCCGGGGCATCTCAACCAAAAGCCGAGGGAGGGGAGAGGTGGGGCGCGGACGTCACTCACCTCAGAGCACTGTACCCCTGACACACGCTGACGCAGCACAGGACCTTCTCTTGGTTTGCCTGAGTCTCCCCCAAGTATTTACACACGATGTTACCACCCAGGCTGAAGCCCACGACGACCAGCTGGGTCTGGGGATACGTCTTCTTGATGTAGTTTACCATGGCTCCAAATTCCCAGGTGCAGCCTGTGGGCAGAGAGGTCAGACCACTCAGTCATTTTAGGAGCAACGAAATGACTGCCCTGGAGAGAGAGCTGGAGGGTTCCTGAGTGCGTGCCAAGATGCTAACAGAGAGAGAAGTGTGTGTGTGTGTGTGTGGGTGTGGGTGGGTGGGTGTGGGTGGGTGGGTGTGGATGGGTGTGGGTGTGTATGGAGAGAGAGGGAGGGAGGGAGGCATAAACACTTCTCTTTGGCTACCTGGAGAGAAATTTCCAGATGCTCCTCTGTATAAGAGGAGACCCAACCTCAGTGGTGCCCGTGAGGGGAGGGACCATGTATCACACAGATGTGCAACACTCTCTGAAGGTGGGTTGTGGAAAAACCTGTCTAGAGGCACATGGAAATGAAAACAGATATCCAGGGCGTCGTGAGCACAGTCGTTCGCACACAGATACAGAAGCAACCACAAAACCCTTCTGGATTAGCTTCTTCGGCTACAAAACAGGATGCTATACCCATGTGTGCAATGACTCATGGTGTCAAGAAAAGAACCAAGTGGATGTTATTTATGGGAACTTCTTGTCGGCGTGGGGGAAGGAAGGAAAGACAAACTTCAGTCTGGAGGGACGGCCAGGATGCTCTACAGGATTAGGATAAAATGTCCTTGGTGACGTAAGGACAGAGTGCCGAGGAAGGCAGGCTCATTGAGAAACACACAGGGGAGACCTCTGTGCGGAGAGGGCCTTGTTTGTCTGGGAGGCATGATCTCAGTTGGTCCCACTGGGAAGCCTGCGAAGCCGTGTTCTCTCCGCAGCTTTGCTAAGAGGAGGAGGTTAGTGCCATCCACGGGTGAAGGGATTTGTCACATCCTTCTGAGACCCGACCCCAGGCTCCTCGGGGGAGCCAACTTAAAATAAAACCTAACAGGGAAAGTTACGGATGTTGGCAAGACACACGCACACGACAGACCAGCAATGAGGAGACTGGGTTTACAGTGGAAACAGGCTGCTGACCTCGGCAGGGGCTCAGAGGTCTGGCCGTCCCTCATGAGAGTTGAACAGCTTCTTCCCTAACCAGCAAGCCATGGGGGATGCTGCCTTTTGAGCCTCGGGCAAGTGCCTCTTACAGCTTCCTTTCATGGAGGGACACAGCCTCAGGCGGGCCAGCACAACCCCAGGTTGGGGGGCGGTTCTCAAACTACAGTGGGTAGAGGATCACCTGGGAGGACACTGGACATGGGCAGCCCCGGGCTTCACCCCCAGACGAGCTGATTTAGTAAGATGGGGGCCAGGCCCAGGAACCTTTATTTTTTGAATAGGTAAAACATGCATATGGCACAAAATTCAAGTAACATCAGAGATGTGGTAACTGGTAATTTCTCATATTCTTTGAAAAAATGTCAGTGGTAGCACACAGATTTAGTACCTTGTTTACTTCTTCTTTTTTTAACAATATGTCTTGGAAGCCACTGTATAACAATACACAGAAATCTGCCCTATTCTTTTTTTTTTTTTTTTTTAAGTCCTCTCTATCCTCAACGTGGGGCTCGAACTCACGACCCTGAGATCAAGTATTGCATGCTCCACCGACTGAGCCGGCCAGGCGCCCCTGCCCTGTTCTTTTTTATTTTTATTTGACAAGGCATAACATAACACTCAGGAAAGTGCACAATGAATTTGTACACGCTTACACCCATGTAAACGCTGCCCAAACCATGTAAACCATGGTTTAAATTACTTGAAACAAGTCATTGTAGCTTAACAGTCAAAAAGGCTAATCTAGGTTTCTAGATTTTTCTCCAAAACAGTGTTCTTCAATCCGATTGCACTGATCTGACGCCCATTAAAATCACCCAGGGATCTTGTAAAACACCAATACCTAATGCCTGCCCCCCCACCCCCACCCCCGCCACCGGCTCATTGAATCCGAATTGTCTGGGCGTGGGGCCTGGTCTTTTACCAGATCTCCAGGTGCCTTCGAAGTGCAGCCAGGGCTGAGAACCACTGATGTAGGAACGGGGAACGCTCTGGCTCCGACAATCTGGGAAAGGTGCTTCTGGAGCTACTCTCTGCCTGGGGGCCATCCCTTCACAGACCTCCTTTCCTGTCCGCCTGCAGTAAGCGACCTTCCCACAGGGAGGCGCTACTCCACCTTTTGGAAGTTTCCGCAGCAGGGCTGTTGGCCTGGTAGCGGCTTTCCGAGTATCTCCTCAAAGCCAGGTTTCTACACAACCAGACACCTCCTCCAGGTCCACCAAACGCCCCCCTGGAATGGTTTTATTATGTACAGACACCAGTTTTTCAATAAAATTCCAGCTAGTTAAAAAGCCCGGCGAAAATAAAGAATAAAAAAAATATGTTTAAGTCCCTTTAGGCCAGTTTCAGCTAGGCTCCAGACACCCAGCGTGTCCCTCATGCTGGAGAAGAGGTTTGTGCAGCTAATGATGGGAACATCATTTGCTCGCATGAGAAAGGGTATCAAGGGACTTATTTTAAATTGTTACTAAAATCCTCACTTTTCCACTATTTCCTTGGGGTTCTGCCTAATTTCATTCATCCCTTGGCTATTTATAACTCTATGTTTTGTTCTAATATGGAAGGAACCTCTCCTAGGTGATGTGCTCCGTACAGTAAAGACATGCTCGGTCTTGTTCCCCACTGCATCTGTGGGGCCAGGTGCAGGGTGGCCACTGGGTCAGTACCACCTAAATGAAGGGACGAAAGCCTGGGTGCACTGTGCCCCAGGCCCTGTCCTGGGAACGTAAACACAGCGGAGGAAGCAGATCCAAAGGGATGGAATGACTTGCCTGACCTCACACAGTGAGCGGGCGGGAAGCGCAGGACTTTGGATCCACATCTAACCCCAAACCCAAGTCCTTTGCCTCATAACACAAACCGACACAAGTAATAGTACTGCAGGGATTTATTTTTTCATTATTAAAAGTCTTTGCTTTCTCATCACCTGATTCCTCTTAGACCGGTCTTTTTTTTTTTTAAATAGTATTTAAAAAAAATTTTTCTTTTAAGTTTGATTTATTTCTGCAATCTCTACACCCAGCGTGGGGCTCAAACTCACAACCCTGAGATTAAGAGTCATGTGCTCCACCGAATGAGCCAGCTGGGCGCTCCTGGACCCGTCTGTCTGTACTCAGGTTTGAGACTAATTATTTGAGGCCTAGAGCAGATGTTCAGATGTCACTGGGGCAGTTACAAAACTCAGATTTGCTACACTACTGGGGAGCAATTACAGCTAATCGTGTAGGCACCTGGGGAGCCTCAATTTAATTAACTCCAAATATACCTGATCTGGGTAAAGGGCCAGCTCTGCCTAACGCTGGACAAGCTGTTGGGTGTTGTGTGAAGAGCTGCTCTCCCAGGCAAGGGTATGGTGTTCGCTCAGCGCCAGGATCCGCCTTCTGCTAGGCGCTGGGTCCTCCTGGGATTTCCACCTGATGAGAGTTTACCAGACACTCTCAGTGGCTGGGAGCCGCTCCCTGGACTGTTCTACTAAAAGCTACTGCGATCTGTTATTTCATAGGAGGAGGATTTTAATGAGGCTCTGGGTATTTAATCCTTACGGGATTAGCACCGGTAACAAGATTTGGGTATCTAATCTTGCGGCAGCTTTTAAAGGCAAGACGAAACATGAGACGCTAACCTGGCTTTGAAGAGATGCGTACCACAGGGCCATCTTGGAAAGGCAACCTGCTGAGACCAGGAAAGACCTTTTCTTCAGCCTCACACCCCTCAAGAAAAATAAGGCTAGGGCGCCTGGGTGGCTCAGTTGGTTAAGCGACTGCCTTCGGGTCAGGTCATGATCCTGGAGTCCCTGGATCGAGTCCCGCATCGGGCTCCCTGCTCGGCAGGGGGTCTGCTTCTCCCTCTGACCCTCCTCC